CTCTCACAAGTTACCAGATGGATCACAGAAGGCCGCTAGATCGTTAACTGCAACGGAGNGTAGTGCCGCATAGTTGGATGATATAATCGTTATTGGTGGCACACAAGAAGAACTGTTTAACCGACTAAATACAGTGCTGAGACGGATTCAAGATTGTGTTTTCAGAATCCGAGAAGACAAATGTACATTATTCATGCCTTTCATCAAATATCTTGGTTTCATTCTGGACAAAGATGGCCGTCGACCAGATACAGAGAACATTGAAGTCATTCAAAATATGCCACCACCGAAGGATTTGCCTACACTCAGATCATTTTTGGATCTCGTAAGTCACTACAGTGCATTTATTCCTGATTTGCATCGCGTCCGAGCTCCAATGAACCAACTTCTAGTCAAAGACCAAGCATGGCATTGGTCAACAGAATGCCAGAATGCTTTCGATTGCGTCAAGTCAATGCTCAGCTCAGACCTGCTTCTGACACATTTTGACCCATCACATGATATCAATGTGGCAGCCGATGCTTCAAACAACGGAGTTGGTGCATTCATCTCTCACAAACTACCAGATGGATCACAGAAGGCCGTTTCACATGCTGCTAGATCGTTAACTGCAACGGAGCGAAACTACAGTCAAACTGAAATAGAAGCTCTAGCTATCATCTTTGCTGTGACGAAGTTTCATAAAATGCTCTACGGTCGAAAATTTACACTCCTCACCGACCATAAGCCGCTGATAGCAATTTCAGTCTATACTGCTAACTGCCTTCAACGTTGGGCACTGATCATCCTGAGCTACGATTTTGAGAGCCGATATCAATCGACTACCTTCCGAAGAAAGAGTCGTTGCTTCGATATCGGTGGAACCAGAGGTCAGATTCCTCGTTACCGATGGTCTATGGAATACACCGGTAACAGCTGAAGAAGTTAGGGAGGAAACACGACACGACCCGCTGCTTAAGAAGGTCACACAAGTCCTCCACACTCTCTGGCCGAAATCGTACAACTCCACCGAATGGCGCCCGTTCTTCCAACGGAAAGATTCGTTGTCGATTGTGAACGGTTTCATTCTGTTCGCGGAAAGAGTTGTGATTCCAAAGACTACAGAAAAGAGTGCTCCAACAATTCCACACCGGACACCCGGGAATCAACCGCATGAAGTCACTCGTCCGTAGTTACATCTATTAGCCGTTCATCGATAAACAACTGGAAGAACTCGTCCAAAACTATCATCAATGCACCTTTGCGTCCAAGATGCCAGTGAAACCCGAGCTTTCCAGTTGGCCAATTCATGACAAACCTTGGTCGCGTACTCACGTTGATTTTGCAGGACCGATCAATGATCGTTCTTACCTTATCGCTATAGATGCCCTCAGCAAATGGCCCGAGATTTTCCTCCTGGATAACCTTACGTCATCCTCAACAATCGAGAAACTCCGACAGCTTTTCAGTCGTTTTGGTGTCTCCGAAACACTAGTTAGCGACAACGGCACTCAATTCACATTACAACAATTCCAAGAATTCTGCAAGGGGAATGGCATTACCCACGTACACTCCCCGCTTTATCATCCGCAATCAGATGATCAAGTGGAGAGATTTGTGGATACCTTCCAGCGGGCACTCCAGAAATCAAAACGGGAGGGTGCAACCGCAGAAGTCATCGCAGAGTTTCTGTTCCTATATCGATGCACTCCAAATCCGAACTCACCAAAAGGAGTTTCCCCAGCAGAGGTATTGATCAACCGAAGGTTGAGAATGCCGTTTGACCTGTTCCCCCAACCACCTACAACACTGAAAGGAACCGAAAAATGGAAGAACAGTTCAATCGTCGACACGGAGCCTTACAACGTTCCTTTGCCCCAGGTCAAGTAGTGTTAGCACGATGCTATGGAAAAGCCGGTTCTCGCTGGGAAACTGGCAGAAATCTGAGAAGACGTGGAGCTGTATTGTATGAGGTACAAGTACAGCCCAACATTTGGTTGCGTCACGCAAATCGATTAAGGCCAACGAAATGCCACGAAGAAAGGACTCGAAGTCCACAACTACCTTCCGACATGTTACTGGAAACCTTCAGTTTGCAGAGAGCTTCACAGCCAAGTAAAATACAGCAACAACCACAACTTTTACTAAGCCGACGTACAAGCAGAAAACGGACGCAAACCACAAGACTACAAATCANTTAGGACGGAGCGCACAAAATCCGTCCTGCCACGCAGCGACGCGCGTCACACCACAAGTGCGCTCGTGACGCCCAAGCCGAATCAACTCCTGACTGGATAACTAAGGCGAATCAAATAGCTGCCATCCGGTCGATCAACTTAAGTGTCAAGGTCACGATCTGATTGGCGCGTCACCGCGTCTGCTCGCATACGCCCAACTGACCACATATATTTGCTTGTTGTTTCGTGATCAAGAATACACTCTGACTGTCGTTTACTCAGCAGTGTTCTTTCTCCAGTTGTTGGGGCCTAGAAAAGAGATTTACGTATTGATCACATCGTCCTGACATCTAGATATAACAACATGTAAATTCAATAACCGGCCCTAAATTATAAATACTTCTGAAACAGCATATTTTACCACTTGCCTCTATATATGTATCAAATACTCAGTGACCACACTCTCCTCATCATGACTAAATCTCTCTTCGTTTCTAAGCATGGCTTGCCCCAATTTCCAGCGCTTTGACAACTGCTTTATTTGGTTCAGAGAAATAAATCGTTTAGGGAGTTCAGTTGCCACCTGTAAAGCCAATAATGCCTATATCTCTTTCAAAATGAAAGTAAATTCGGTTTTCATTTACCTGTGGCAAAATGTGTATACATCTCCGTCATAAGCCTGAGGCAAAGGTTCAAATTGTAGTTCAGTCGATTAAAATACCAGAATTGCAATATAAACTGAAACCGGAGTGACCCGTATATCTCAAAATCTCAGTCTGAGATACATGAAGAGCATATCCACCCGGCTGTGGACTAATAAAATGAATCGCAGCGGAAACCATTTACTTAAAAATTGAGAGAAAAACCACAGAATTCATTACCAATCAAGCATTTAGTTAAGTTATAATGGTACATGATTTTAGTACCACTGTGGAGAAAACATCGTTCACATTCAGTTTCCATGAGCAATCTGTAGTTCAACCCACCAACTGAACACTGAGTGAACGATGCTCTCAAAATTCAGAGAGATCGAGATGATGTTCATGCTCTATAGGTGAGCTTGAAATTAAACAAAATTGGAGGCCAGTGTTTAAAGGTATGCTCAAACATAACGTGCGGAAGTTTTGTTTAGGTAAATGGCACTTGCGTAAAACAGGGTTTCACTAGAATTTACGACTTAGTCAGGAATAAGATAGTGAGCTCGTACAAGGTCGAGTTATTCACTGCTTTGACGAGCATTTTGAAATCTCCCGCATAACAGGATGACAAGTTTACCACGACTTTAGTATCAAAACCGTTTACTATACAATTACCTTAAAGTCATCGCTGTTTTCGGCTTTATTATACCTTACTTCGCTGGAACGCTAATTTTTGCTCATGAATCCAGAAAATGAATATATGGATTGTGAACAACAAATATTATCGACAATATTGACTTGCAAAGTTTCGCTACAATATACCAAATGAGAATACATTCATTCTTTCTATCACAATCGCAAAATTTCCATCTCCTATAGTCCAACTATTTCCCTGAAATATTTCACACTCGTGTGAAGTACTAAATTTCTTCCGAAAATAGCGGGTGCAAATCACATTACGGAGGCTCTGATTAGCCCTTAAATAAAAACGTCAATATCAGCTTCGTTTTTCTTCCCATAAATGGGAAGGCGGATCGTGAGTTTGTTCTGTATCTGGCCAGAATAACTAAATCTTCTTGTAGATTATAATGAGTAAGTGTTTCAAAATGAGCTTAAAAGAGGCCAACCGTTTTGGTTTCATCGATCGTGCCCTTCTTTATTGATTAGAGACAGAGTGCAATAACAAATATTGGCGTAATTCATAATGAGAACTACATGAATTGCGCCATATATTCAAACACCTAAACGCCTTGACCCTAGCTAGAATAATCACTGATATGGAGATCATATCACTGTAGCAGCACGTGACATTTTTTATGAAAAAGGAAATTATACTATTACCGGAAGAGGGTTACATAAGTTGTGCTGTATCCTCAAAATGATTTTTATTTTGTCACTGATGATTTTAGGAAGAATATCGATCGTATCTTTGTCACCACTTCGATATATTTAATCACTTATTTTTCTTTGAATTGTTTTTTATTCATTTTTGCACATGAGCATAACGATACAATAGATGCGCAATACCGATTGTAGCATGTCATGATTAGTTTTGTTTACTATAGAATATTTGCCGTGGACCGTTACCACTGTTCCCATTGGTTAGACGTTCATGTGTTTCCAATTGGTTTCGGCTCGGTGGTTGTACAATCTCGGCGAAAGCTATCGCTTTCTAAAATCACCTCATATTGGACGTAAAGCAACGACTGCAATAATCTCTACGGTTTTTTCCCTAAAATTGATGAAAATAATAATGTTTTTAATTACCATGTGTGCTTATTTAGTAAAAGAAAAGAAAACGAATGTCCAAAGTGAAGCTTCTACCAACTTTCGAATGGAATACTCCTTGAATAATGTATTTGTCCATAATCGATCATATTTGATTACGTTTATTGTAAAATGAATTATCTTTATATGTCTTAGTTTATCGCATGCCTGACTGCAATTTTTGACGGCATAACAGCTTTACCTAGGACCGGCTCCTCATTGGACTGTGAATTAGTTGCAAGAGTATGTTTTGTCATTGGTTTCCAATACGTTTTCAGGTTTTCGCCCATGAACGAATGTGTATCAACTTCAGAAATTCCGTTTAGAGTATAAAAGGTCAAAACGTATAAATGTAGTGCGGTCATTAGTTCTGTATTACTTTACTGTTGTTTGTACATCGTTTTAAAGTAAGTATGAGTGGTAAGTTGCCCGTCAGTTTTTAATCTGAGTCTAAAAGGAAAAAAAGAAAATAAATTTCCTCACCTTACTGAATTGAGCCATCTCATGAGATACATCACTTAGAAGTCACACATGTATTTTCACGCAAAATAAAATATTCAGCTGAACTGAAAGTGCATTGTAATATGATACTTACCATGCGCGGTCAATGACGAGGTGTGCAGTAAACACTAATATAAGAGGTACCGTGGGGTTGGATTGTGATACGCCATCTGAAACAGGTTATAAGAGTTAGGGTTATTTTATGGAAGCCACAATCATGAGGATTTGGTACAAATAAAGTGTCACTGGGCACTCTGTAATCCTAAGATCGTTGGTTAGCAATTTACTATGTGCCTTGCTTTTGCAAAACTCACCCAATACGTAGTACACTACTACATCGGTACTGGAGGTATCTCTGGTACGTCGAAGCAGTTGTTTGGAACCCGGAGCACTTCCTTCTTGAATGCTTTTCCCAGGTGATACCTGCTGAGGAACAGCGGGTGGTTGCTTATCAACCAGTTCGTTCGAATTCTCTGGTCGCTGCTTTTCCATCACCCCAGACTCAGGAAGTTGCTTCTCCTCTCCATCAGATTCCACGTCCTTCTTTTTATCCTTCTCCGATACCTCTGGATTTGATTTTGCCGGTTCCTTGACTGGTTTGGTCGTAATTGTCGTTGTTTCCGTTGTACTTGCTTCTGTTGGGGTCGCAGCAGTAGTTGTGGTCCTCAACTCTGCACTCACTTCAACTGGTTCTTGGGATGTAAACTGAGAGTTTGTACCTGATGGGCACAGAGTTTCTGATGTGTCCCCACTGGTAACTGTCACACATTTTGTTCCACTTGTCGTCTACAAACAAGTGAATAGCAGAACTGTAATCCATTCGAGGTAAATTCTGCTAAGTTCCAAATACGCTTGAATAAATTCTTTTGGACTTACGTTAACGTAGACCTTCACCGTTTTACCAGAATCCGATATGACTCGGTACTGACAGTCGGTGACATTGCTTTGCACGACGACACGTTTTACGTCACTAGAGGCAGTAACTTCTTTGCAACTCTGTGCCTTTGCAGCTGATTATCTTGAAAACATATAATTGCGCTACTTACTGAGAACCCCACTGACATAGAGAGTTATGAACAGCACTTTCACGATATTGGATTTCATATTCATTGGCTTGCAGTGGACTGGAAGCCACTGGATTTTATATTGCACCTCGCACACATTTGCGGGATTGAGTTGATTGGTAGCTTTCTGCCTGATCATTCACGTGATTGTGAGATTCACCGACTCCAATATATCACACTCGCTCTTTGAAGATGTGATTCATCAAGCGAACGAAGAACTCCAATGACTTGCTGACTACATCACACCATTCATGAAAACCTAATGCGGAGGCAATTTTCTGGGGAAAACATTCATGAACGAACAGTGTTCAGCTATGTTTCCAACTTGTCTTTCGTTGGAGTACTGAAAGTGGGATGACGTTTTTAACGCGCCAGTTTAGTCGCAGCGCATAATTATCTATTGATCTTTCCCTATTTAGGAAAGGTCTGGTCTCACGGGTTCTCACATACACTACATGGTCTCTTATTCCGTCACGTGAGTGAATGTCTTTGGTACCCAAATTGCTGTATTAACGGAAATAGCTGCTTCGGGATGAAGGTTGTTTTCCAGTATGTACTTATCCCCAAATTCTTGTTTTTCCTTTGTTCTCAGAGTTCACAGAGCGGGGTCGTGTGTCTTGTGTGAGGTATGTACATTACACGGGAACTGTAAACAGTTATTAGAAAGCGTGGTTACGTAATACTACCAAGAATTGGAAGTCACAGCTTTCTAGAGATCACATTTTGATAAAGCAGTTTGCTTTGGATTCGACCATGGCCTTGACGGCTGTTCAACGTATTTTCCTTCCACACACCTATAGGACGAGCCATTATCAAGTTAATTCACGTTGAACGAAGATGCAAGCCATCGTCAAGTCCCTGGTCCTAAATACGACTATTTTGCAATTATTACAAAACAGTTTGTGCAAAGATATTTATTTAGAATTACTTCGCTATAAATGGTACGACCCTTGCACGGAAATCCGTTGTACTCATAACTTTCTTTCCGCAGAAATATTTGTTCGTGCCACTTATTCACTGGATGGAATAACTCATTTTACCTCGCAACCTGCTTGTGGACGAAAATTAAACCAACCATCTGGCTTTAGTGGTCGTTCAATGTGATGCGTTGTGTGTAAGTCATTTGGTTAGCACTGAGTGACCTAAGCCGAGTGAAAGAGTTTAAAGCGGTCCTTTGATTGATACAATCAAGCACGACACGATAACGCATTAACCATGAAAATGTTGGTTTTCTCACCCTGAGTTATTGTCGCAGGATTAGGCGCAGCCCGTTGATTTCAATAACGAACGACAACCATTTTTATACCCGGGATAAAGGAATCAACATTTCGTGTTTCACGAGATAGACAATATTCAACTGCACAGGCATTACCTCGGTCATAAACGTAGATTAGCAACCTAGATCACGATTCCGACAATTTGTGATGGGTCTTTAGGAAAACACAGATTTTACCATTCCAAAATCAGCTTCGACAGAAGCGGTTATGTAGCACCAAATTTTTTTCTTGACAGTTGGTAAAAAACGACTGAGTTAATCGTGAAGAGCCAATGAAGGTAGTACCTCTATCTGGTTTCATCAACGTGGACCGCGGAGTTCCATATAAATCAGCGACCAAAACTGATAACTCGTTGACATCGCAGACAACAAACGACGTAGCTCACCAATAACTGATGGTTCATGATAATTATCCCAACGTAAATTATTGTTTAGTTATCCACATCGTGTTCATAAGCCTACATCTTGTGTTTGCTACTTCTAGTGGAACCGAGATGCAACTCAGTATCAGTTTCACTTCACTACTCATCATTTTATAACAAGCATGTTGCATCCTAGTGATTGCAGTGCAATCTCTATAATGAAAAATAAATTTTAAGTGATGAGATCTGGCTCATATTTGTTCTGTCAATAACCGTGTTTAATCGATGGTTTTATCTAATCCGTGAATGAAAAATGGGAGGTTTAAACTCTGCTTCACTGTGTAATCTATCCAAGTGGGATTACATTTATCAACAATAAATTCTCTCTTGACAAAACACGAGATAGAACAAACCTATTGAAGTGAACATTCCTTAATTTCTCTCAAATATCTCTTTAGCAGGATACACTCATTTCATTGCACACTTACGAACGAACACCAGTCGAAATTGCCGATATAATGACAACCAAAAAAGGCTTTTGAATCAAAGTTTAGTATCGCATTCTGGCAATAACCGTTCAACTTTATTTGCGCATGGTCCAAATGTCGTTTGTTTCGTTTGACGCAGTAGAGGTCAAATGTTATTCCATGGTGCGGAATATCATGCTCTATTATTTATTACATATGATAACACTGCATTTATCCTGTAAGGTGCACTCACGTTTTCATATGTCGATATCAAATTATGTTATTCCGGCTGAAGGCCTCAAAAATAGGAACAAGATTTCAAAATACTGGAAGCTAGATTATGTATGTATTGCTGATAATTCCTATCGCTTGTTAGATTGTCGGATGTCGAGCTTTAGACGCATCTCCTTCGTCAGCAGTATATTACGTAACTACATTGACAAGAAAAAATCAGTGCTGGCACCCGGTGATAATTCACGTGTACTCCGTTGGTCCGGAGTACATGGCATTTAGAAGCTTCGATGAACAAGTAAACGTTTGAACATATCACAGCTCATTGTGTAGTACTTATGGCAACCAGCGTGCCAGGTGTCACTTGCTTAGCATACATACAACGTCAGTGAGCCCAAGACCCAATGACACCTAGATTACACAACTGCATTACAATTTGTTACTAAAATATTTAATTCACTTGTTTTCAGTGGTAGCGTTTCTGGAGTACAAGGCACCTGAAACTTCATATAATGAAGAGATCTGTGTTAAGGAAGAAAAATGTTTCCTCAAGATATCGCATCAGTCGGTAGATAATACGTTTAGGAGTTAATGAGATATTCTTTTGCATACCACAGAAGAACGACACAGATTTCACCGAATTAAGATTAATCAAGTAAATATCGACCTTAAATCCCCCTATGTTGAGAATCCATCAAATAATCAAGCAAATGGTCGCCATTTGATTACTTGTTAAAATAAGGCGCACTGATTGTAAAATGAATTTCCGTGTCTTTTTTATTTAAGCCTAATCGCTTCACTCAGTCCTGGTACATGTTTAGTTGACTTATAAACCGAACAGTCAAAATGCGTTGAAGACTTCGGTTAACTGAGAAGCAAACATATACCTTGAACTCTCTATACGCTTGTTCCTCAATGTGTCCATCGAAGCCCGTTGGGGAACAACTCCTACCACCATCTTGCGGTTACCAGGGTGTTTCCATAACCGAATCCTTGGCTTGTTCGGGCCCTCTTTCACCGGTTGAATGAAAGTTTGTATATAAATCCCTAACGCTTGATTATAATACAATACATTGCAGAGATATCAACATGTTTTACTGCATTCAGAAAAAGCTCGACTTTATACAGCAGTAAACGGTAAAAGAATTCCCAACCCGACAGAAATATTTTCGTTTTGGACGCACTGTGTGCTACTCAGCAAACAAGCACAGATGAAATTCGCGCTCTTTGATTATTAGTGTAGTTAGATATAAAACCACCGGATTTCGCAAACTCAGGGCATGTGAATGATTTTTCAGTGACCCTTAGTAGTTGGATACATTATCGACCATGTCAGAGTTACATCTTCAATAATACTACCGAAGCTGTACGTCTGAATGATGCATTCTATTGGTGAAACCCAAATATGCCAAAGGTGAAAACTTTGCTTAACGAACATGTATATGGTGCTTCACGATTTGTTATATTGTCATTTATCTTCGGAACAGTTGGACGTTTTCTTCGGTGGACTCACAAACAACATGGCAGACTAAACCGGATTGCGATATTATATTGTTAAACTTACAAATCAGTATATTGAGACCGGGATCATAGATTATATCGCTCAAACGTTAACGAAAAATTAGTCGAATTAGCCTGTATAAATTTAGTCTTTATTAGACTGATGCAACCAGAGGAATATTAAGTATCTTCTGTGTAAGCATTACGACCGGGTTTCTGTCGGAAAGATATACCGACAAAGTTAATTCAGTAGCAAGAATGTTTTTTTAGTTCAAGAAGACCGACAGTGGAAGTTGGACGTGATTTCCGGCTGGAATGTTTCATACTTTGGTAACTTTGGTACCGGTAATTATGTTATTTGCTAAAGTACATGACTCCAAAGGTATAAGAAAATTCAAGTTGAACATAGAGAACACATTTTAGTGCATCAGCATCCGCAGTACTGTATAGATCTTCCCGTGAATGGCGTTGTATGATCTGTGTAGCGTGTGAAAAATAATGTGTCCCTGAATGCATGAACAAAACCTATGTAAGACCAGTCATCGTTCCCTTGCAAAATAATATTTGCCAAGGAAACCGGTATGTTGTGAAAATCAATGTTCTTTTAATATGCTCGAAGTAATGAATTAATTCGATTATTGAGCAAGCTTTCTATGGAAGATAAATTTGCTTCCAGCTTCGGTGACAAAGCTGGAAGATAACCACATAACTGAGAGGCATGAAGTTGTTATGTGCGTCAAAAATAATTTAGGGGTGGTCGCACCATTTGAAAACTTTTTGATTGATCTTTATTAACATGTTCCGAAAAATGTCAGCGAACTTGTCAGCATCGTTCGCACATAAGCTTTGCACCATTGGTTTATAGTTTAACTCAGTTTCTTTTTTA